TTTGTTGTGATTTGGCGCTATATAAATAAAATTGAATTGAATTGAATTGAATTGAATATGTACATCATGTTTTGATGTGAGCTACGGAGATGATACTTTTAGTATTGTATTGTACTTGTAGTATTGGCTATATGAATAATAAAAACCAAACATGTTTTAAACTTTTGTCTAAACATTTTCATTAATCCAATGACAAAAAGCTCTGAGGTAAACAAATAAGACTGCAAAAGTAATGTAACTCGCCTTTAGATATGAACATTTCAAACTGCTATAACATTTACTTTGAAGACACATGTCTGAAAAGCACAGATTCTAACAATTATTGAGCACAATCATGGTTTCCACAGATGAATGACCTTAATTTTTTTAAGACCCAATGGCAGCTGCGGCTCAGGGCTCAGGTTGTCTAATAATTGGACTGTCGTGCTTCCATCCCTGACTCCCTTGATATGCATGTGTAAAGCCTCTAATTGCCCTCCACGCAAGATACCAAGATACAGTTGTGGTCAGAAGTTTACATAGACTTTTTCAAGGTCTGGAAGAAGACCCAATTTTGTCATCCTCAAATGAAAGGGAACTGATTAAGATGTTCAGGAAGAACCCAAGAACCACCCAGCATGAAGGGAGTTTTACGCTGCCATGGACTGAGAGGGTGCCGACCAAGAAAAAAAACTCCCTGCTCCAAAATCGACACCTACATGGTCAAGCCAAATGCCTTCTGGAGAGAAATCTTTACATGAGACAAAGATTGAGTTATTTGTCTCAATCACAAGAAGTTTGGTGGACTAAAAGTGAGGCTTTGCATGGTGCTGGTAGCATCACTGGTGTACTGCACAAAGTAAATGAAATGATGAAGAAGGAGGACTACCTCAAAATTCTTCAACCTTTCCTCAAATCAAAAGCTTCAGTTGAAAGTGGGATATAATTGAGTGTTCAAAGGGGACAATGATCCCAAACACACATCAAAACTGGTTTTGGAATAGATAAAGCAAGCTAACATTAAACTTTTAGAATAGCCTTTCCAAAGTCCTGAACTTAAACTTGGAGAAAATTTGTGGACTACTCTTAAAAGCTGGATCTCCGCAAGGAACAACCAATTTAAAGGAACTCTACTAATTCTGCCAAGAAAGGCGATTCAGCCACAATCATGGCAGAAGCTTGTTGATGGTGACCAACTTGCTCAGGGACATTTAACCAACTATCAGTGGTGTATGCACATATTTGAATCTGCATGTGTATTTTTGACCCTGTGTTTATCAGAGAAAATCCAAAATAAATTCAAACTTGCACACACAATTCTTGTTTTTTTTTTATTAATCAAGGATTCATGCTGTACTGTGATTCCACTCTGGAAAAAGAACAGTTCAAAGAAATAATTAGAAGCCTAAAATCACAGTGACAGTCACGCCCATGATGACGACTGTATGCAAACTTCTGACCACAACTGTAGATGCACAGAATGAAGTGTTGTATGTATATGTGTGAATGTGGTGTAGTGTTCAAGTGCTTAAAGTGGTTCAGTAAGACTAAACAGTATCTCATCCATCCATCCCTCAATAACTACACTAACCAAACACTGCTCCCGCTCAGTCACATTTTTGGACTGCGCGAGTGTGTGTGTGTGTTCTTGCACTTTGGTGGAAACAATAAAATTATTTCCAATAAGATGAGCATCACTTCAATATTACTGATGAGTAACACTCGCTGACGCCAGATTAAAATGGATGAACAGCAGAGAAAAACTGAATTAGGTTTGGGAAAATAGCAAACAAAGTGGAGAGTCGGCAGACCTCCCACAACACAATGAGTCACAGCAGTGGGGGGAAAAAAAGGTGCAACAAACAAGAATGAGTCGGAAAGAGTTAGTGGGGGTAGGCGGCAAGAGAATGAGAAAAGATTAGCAACAGCAAATACAACCTCAATCTATCACCAATCTGTGTTGTACATCATCTGTAGACAGGCAGGATTATTCCCATCTAAACATCATAATAAATATCTTGGGTTTCCCCTGAGTGGATTCAGTCCACGTGCAGGCTCCATTAGAAACTTTTATTGTTTGCTGTGCACAAAAAGCCTCATGGTTAATCTTTCAGTTTATCTAGAAACTAATTCATTTGTCATCTCTCAAATGAGATAACAGATCTGTGGCGTTGCCTGCTATCAAGCTTTCCTTGAGTTTGTTTGAACATCTCTCTTTCCATTTTTTCCTGATTGGAGGCGATAAGACCGTGGCGACAGGGCGGTCTAGCCAGAGTGCTTGTTGCTGGCGACAAAAGGGAGGAGCAGACAGGAAGGGACAGAGAAAAGGGAGAGAGAAGGTGACAGAGTTAGAGGGGCAGGCATGCTCAGCCTGGGTGATGCAAATAGCCCTGCTGTCGCCTCCCCCGCCTGCCAGTCTTTCATAATCTCTGTTGACAAAACAGAGGCACACGGCCCATGTCTGGCCGTGTAAACTCACACCAGCAGCATGACAAGCTGCTTCAACAACTCGCACAAGTTGCAAAGACTGTCTTCTGGTTTATCCTAATAATAAAAAAGACCTGGTCCTTAACAGGTCCTTAAATGACACAGTGTAAGTTATTTAACAAAAACTAAGACAAACTACTGAAGCATTGTGTGATAAACTACATACACCTTTAAACCTGGATTATACTTGGTTGTGGACATGGACAACCGAGTAGTCATGCCTGTTATACTTCCTTAAAGTTCGCTTGAAGTCCGCTCTCAGGTGCATGCATAGTTGGTGCATTATAATGTAATTTCTCTACGAACAAGTCCTTGTGATCACAAGAAACAGAGCGGTATGCAGACTTTTGCGTGGACCCTCACACTGACTAGGTGACGGCAAAATTTACATCACAGAGAGCCAAGCGGACTCCCGGATGTGTAAAGTATAAAACCTGCTTTCCTGGTTCCATAGTAATTATGAGGGTAAGTCACAGAAAGGTTATCCACAAGCGGAAAGACAGCTGTCAATCATTTCTTGAGCGGAGGTACCCAAAATTTACAGATCTGTGTGTCTGATCAGGGGCAAGCAGATTCAGAGATACTATGATGATATCAAAGTAGGATATCAAAGGATTGATAAAGATAAATCAAGTCCAGCACCTCTTCTTAAGAAATGAGCAAATCATTCAATTAATCCTTGAAGTTCTACTGTGTGTGTTACAAACAATTGTACCCACTTGCCTCAACCATGTAATAAAGTTGAACATGTTTAATTTAAAAAAATGCACATGAAAATGAACCAAAATGGAGCCTCAGTCTAAAAGTACACTGCTGAATGTGTAATTGGGTTTAGATAATACCTTTGTAATTAAAGATCAAGTTTTTTTTTTCTATTGATTCAATGAGTTTTCTGCTCATCCAAAACCCTGAAGTGCCTCAACAGTCCATCACCTGACATTTATGCAGAGAAATCAACAAAGCCTTCACCTTAACTCACTGTGGAAGATTCCTGGAAGTATCCTTGCCTCACCTCATCCTTATCCCTCCTATTTTCTTCTGCTTCAGACTGAGTGTCTCCCCTCCTATGGCCTGGACTGTCCTTCCTCCCCTTTCTTACCAACCTCACTCCTCACACAATCACTGCTGCTATAAGTGCAACAGCAGCGAGTTTGCAAAAAAAAACATGCGTGTGAGAATTCGCGTGAACGAAAGAGAGAGTGTGGTTTGGTTAAGTGTGGGTACACTTATGTGTTCGCGAGTGTGTGTGTTGTCGTCACCTGCAGACAGGGGTAAAAGATTAATGCTCTCTTTCAGCCTCCGTGGCAGGTAGAGCACAAAGAATAATTTGATTTCTCCTCCTGTCTCCCTGCTGTCTTCCCACTCTTCATTTTCTCATCTGCCTGAAAATCGTTCGCAGCCCTCTTTGTTTCCCTTGTTGCTACCGCCACTACCGGTCTTTTTTCGTAAACTATTCCGCCTTCCAAAATTCAACCACACACACGCACTAAAAAAACAACAAAAAAACCCCCACCTCCATAAAATATTTGCCTCAAAAACACACACACACACACACTTTTCTCTGCATTTCAGCGTTCAGGTCAGGAGGATGTTGCAAGAGTGTGGCAACAACAAGAAACTGTCTCTGACAAACCGTTCAACCTGAACCCAGCAGGCCGTTACCATGCCAACCGTGCGGGATGTTAGCTCACCTTTCGACGGCGCCAAGATGATGGACGATCAGGTCCCCCCTCCCCTCGCTTTGGGGGCGCGGTCCTATGTGGGCTGATCAATGGAGTCTGGAGAGAAAAGAAAAAAACAAACACACACACACACACACACGCAAAAAAGTTTAGCAATCATGCTCAACAGTGCATGTTCATTAGGGCAATATTAATGAATAACAAGCAGCATTATTAATGAGCAGCCTGAAGACACATGCACAGGAAGCACCATTAACGTCTTAATGAGGAGAAGAAACTGCGAGGGAGCCCAGCCTTGCTATGTGCTTTTGTCTTCATTACGGCTGCACACGTACAGAGCAAACACATCATGGCTCCTGTGCATTTGCATTAACATGCAGACCTCTCCCACAACCCGACCAAATGCACACACACACACACACACACAAAAAAGGGATGTTGAGACACAAGTTTTACAGGAAGTCAAAGAGCTGAAACCTGAAAGTGAAGACAGCATGTGATCCACAATTCAGCCACCCAAGTTTTTTAAAAAAGAAGAAAAAGTGAAGTGCTTCCACATCTTTCCCTCTGAATGAATACTTCAAAAACACAACTGGATATAAACACCAAGCCTTTATTGGCAAATATCCACTGTGGCGTAGGGACTTGGAGTAAGAGCACAAAAACAGACTATTAGGCTAAAATCACTGCGCTAATCCCAAAAGCACATAATAGGCTAATTTGTGTCCATTTAGATCCTGATAAGAAACACTGTGTGTGTGTCTGTGTGTGTTCTTTGGCCATGAGTTGTTGTAGTAGCTCAAGTGTTCAGCGTCTGAACAATCCAAGAAGAGTATCCCGTAGGGGTAAACAGTGCGTAACCATGGGGAACGCTGGGCGTTTCCATGACACCCTGTCATTGGTGAAGCACACCACAAGGCTGGCTCATGTTCTTCTGTCCCTGTACCTCAGTGCATGTGTGCGTCTGTGTGTGTGAGTGACAGAAAGTAGGTTTACTTTCATTTTTATTAAATGAATGATGAGAGCGTCACGTCGGAGTCTCTGAGTTCAGCTTGAGTGCGTCTGTGTGATTCTATTGTTAATCTCACGTCTACCAGGCTTTAACTGTTATTTTACCATTTTTGCCTGCTGTTCTTCTTCCTATAAAACAAATGCAAATGGTTTATTGCAAGTGTTTCAGTCTTAATATATTGTTAAGTATTTCTACTGTAAATTTCATCAACATTTTATTTTAAAATATAATTACTTTAGATTTATTATCTATAGAGCACTGAACAGCAGCAAAATGAGCTCCTGAATTAATTTTTCTAGTCATCCTTCTATAATGGAAAGTTTTTTTTATTGCCATCAAAAGCTGATAAATGCCTTAAAGCAGAGATTGGTGGAATGCACTAACAATAGACTTTGGAATCGAGAAAAAAAGGTTTTCATGAGCTGCTGTGCTGAAAAACTGAGGCTTTCAGGAGACAAATGTAGATTCAAAAACAGCATGTTAGGCAACAGCAAGAAGATTTGCAAAAACCTTAAGCAAATATTTTAAAACCATATGAAGTATTTCTTCATGTTACACAATATTAAGTCAAAGAATCCATCCATCATTTTCTAGCCTATCCTAGCTGACACAGGCAGGGAACACTATCGACGGGTGGCATGGCAAACACAGAGAGGCAGGAAACCATTCACCCTTAAATTCACACCTACAGCCAATTTTTAAATCACTAAATAATCTAACATGACATGTTACATGACGTGTAATATGTTTCTGTGGGAGAAAGCCTGTTAGCCATATTTAACTTTCTCAGTTAAATATGGGTAACGGAGAAAGTTACGATCAGAGACCTTCATCTATGGTCATCTATAGGTCAACCATCAACATCTACGAAGGTTGGCGGTTTGATCCCTGGCTGCTCCACTCTGCATACCAAAGTATCCTCGGGTAAGATACGGAACCCTGAGTTGGTCCCAATTTTGTTTGCACTTCAGCGTTTTGTTGTATATTCCTGCGCTAACTAATTTGTCTTTTTATTATGTCTGATGGACTGTGTCTCTAAAGCAGGATTCACGGTCCAGCACAGGTAGCGGGTTAGCTGTCCGGGGACGGCCCGTCTGCCTGCAGAGAGTTCTGTTGTCAGATGGAGGCAGTGTAGAAAATATGTGGTGCAAGTCTGTGGACCAGTCTTTCTTGTGCTGTGATTGGTCTGTGAGACAGCCACGCAGAAGAGCGAAGCCATACAGAGTGTTACAAACAATGAAAAGCATCCTCTGCAGTCAGTGCTTGAATTTTATATACTGTATTTATTGATCTTTATTTATTGAGTGTTTTTGTCACCTCTCCTTCTCTATTCCAGCCCACTTGTCAGCCAATCAACATTAGACAGATGCTTACATCGTCCCTTTCTACCGGTGCACAGTCAGGATCTAGGAGAACTGTACGGGACCGTGTCTGGGGTGGGTGAAAATACCTCTCCAGCCCCCGTCCAACTGGAAACGCTCCCGGACACATTAAAGACCTTAAAGATGTTGTATTAGATAGTGCAACCCCCTCAGGATTATTGATGGACAGATGGTGGCCCCATGCTAGCCACACCTTGAGCAATTATTCAAAACACAACCATCAGAATACTTCTAAATTTAAGATTTTCACTTGAACACTGACTGTTTGCTCACCTTCTTTATGTTGCGTGCTAAATAAGACAGCTGGACTTGAGTCAATATAATTTTGTGCAGATGAGTTACGACAGAATCAAAAATTAGGGGGGAAAAAGCACCTCAGAGTAATCAGCTTTTATACTACTTGGTTATACTCACACAAAAACTGTGAATTGCGGAACAAAATGTAATTTTAAAGCAGTTTGTTACACTGTGTATGTTTACGTGTGTGTTATGTGCCTATATGCCATTCACCATCAGCGACCTGACCGCTGGCTGCACCCATGATTGGGAGCAGATGGAGGCTGTCGGTGTGTGCATGTGTGTGTTAGCAGGCAGGAGACAGGAGGAGGAGGAGGAGGAGGAGGAGGAGGGGTGAGCGCTCTAGTTTAGGTGATGTATGGACTCTCACACACCAACAAAGACCCTCCTTCAACCGATGTGTTTCTTATTAATTGAAAGGGGAGAAAAATAGAGCCGGAGAATGACTGCTTAAGCAGGGAGAATTTATAGCTCGGCTGCGACAAAGACTAACTGACTCGATTTTTTTGTGCAAAAAGTTTAGGGGGGGGGGGAAGAGTCGTTATTTGTGCTGTGCACGAGCAGGGACAAGAGAGTCTTCAGTGTGATCATTACTGTTCTTTGTGCTCACTTTGAAACAGCCGTGAAAACCAGAATGAATAAAATGGTAGTTAACTGCATGTGGCGCTGCTCATACTGGCGTAAAGCCTTGAATTTAAAAGCAGTGTGAATGAGCTTAAGATTCAGAGTCAATGAAGAAATGTTGAGCTTAGGCCTTTTTACAGTCTGCTCTCCTCTGAACACGTGTCTGTTTATCTCCTCGCGCTCTTCAATTACTCATCACCACAAAGCTAAACAAGGCTTCAGCCTTGTACTGTCTGAATGTTTGCTTGCTTTGCCTTTCATCAATGCAACCCGAGCGACACAATAAATATTGTATACAGCTGCATCTTCTTCTCGTTAAAGCGACTGCGCTTAAAGATGCAACGAAGATGCAGCCGCAGTTCACAGTTTAAAGGGGATGCTCGCACAAGAGCCGTTGATTTCATGAACACGACGTGCGCAGCGCATCGTGAGTTTCACAGAAGGAGCGGGTATTTACGGCAGAGATTTCGTCTCGGCGGCATTTCTGCATTTCGAAGCCGCAATCAGAGAAGCTGATTTAGCTCAGCGGTCAGGCTGTTGTGACTTTTGAGGTTTCTTCCTCTTTACTCGTTGCATGATACTCCAGAATCCACTGAATCATTGTTTACTGGGCCTCCTCTTTGTTCCTGAAAGTCACCTCGTTTGGCCTTGACCGTAAAAACCAGGTGACTTACAGACCTCTTTAACAGCTGCTAAAAGTGCTGGTATTAAGAAGTAAAAATAAAGTAACACTTTCACTCAAATGTATGCAAATCTGAACAAAACCAAAAATAGTCAAATAAGAATTTACCTTCTTAAGTTTTCAGTTTCTCAGCTCAAACACGCGTCCATGGTGATCTACATTAACATCTTCGTCTTAAATCGCAGTGGTCTGCAAGCTGAACCACGACATGCTACACCTCCAACTTGTGCTGTATGGCACTTTAATCTAGTTTAGGATGAAGAAAATATAAAGAAACAGATACTTCCTCATCTGGCGTCTTAATGACAACTGTAAAACTGCGTGCAACCAATGAGCAGTCGGGATAAGATAAAGATGGTAAAACCGGACACGTGCCTTCATCTGGTACCATCAGCTGAACCAGGAAGAAAACCAGGAACGAGGGCCATGCTGTCATGCAAGAAAGTGAAATAATCCCTCTTGCTAACAAAGTCCATTACAGTGTGGATTTATATGAGACTAATCAGTAATCACTAATCTTTCTTAAGTAGACTCAAGGCCTACAGACAAATAAGTACAAATAATATTTCAAAACAAGTTCACTGCAGTAAAAGCACTTTTGGGAATCAGTGGTCTAAAATTGTCGAATGAGGTACTAAAAAGTCCAGTGGAAAAATATGAATCCAGGTACAAAGTGCACGAAGCTGCAAATGCATTAAGATAAAAGAAACACTGTGACAAAGACCCAATGTACCTTTGCTAGATATGGGACCGACTGGACCCTTTTACAAAAAGAACAAGTACATTTTTAAGCCAGAAAAAAAAGCCCTGCATTGTATAAATGGCACTGAACATGCCCTGCCCTTTCCTCGCTCCAATGTCAAGAAGTGGCACAAAAATTCGGGTTCCAATGAATAAATAGAAACAAATAATGAATAAACAAATAAATACAACAAACACTGGATTAAATGAAATGTAAACTAACACCGACACAAGGCTGGTCAACAGCACCAGCAGCAGTCATCACAAACCTGGGATGTAACTGATACACTAAATGCCCTTCCTGATGCATCCCTCACCTTTTATCCAGGCCTGGTATTAGGAGAGCAATGACTTTTGC